TTTTTTAGCATTTGGCGACTCATAAGGTTTGCTATTTTTATTTTCATTCGCCGACAACCCAATTTACGAGGATCAAGGAGAGAGAGAGAGAGAGCCAGAAAAGAGAAAAAAAAGCACGAGAGAAGGAAAAAGAAGGTGAGAAAAGTTAAGAAAGCAGAGAATACGGAGCGCTTACCAGTGTCGGTGGCGTCCGAATCTGGTACAACCATCGGATGAGAAGCCGGGGAATCGGACTGGTGCGGCATGCTAAACACCACCGGCTCTGTTGCGCTTGTGTTATTGTTGCTGATGCTGCTGTAGTCGCATAATTTGTTGTTTTTCAATCTCTGCTGAGCCTCGACTTGATCCGGCCAGTAGACGCTCTTTCGTTGCTGGTGCTGTTCCGAGGAGCCCGAGCTTGGCGATCGGCGTGCCATACTTACCGATCACTCGATCGCTTAATCGTGTTCAAGGCACACTTGCTTGACAAACTCACTAGCTTTTCACTTTGTTCAATACATCTTTTAACGTAATGAGGCGTTTCGGATATTCTTTGTTAAATAAGTAACTTGGGCTTCATTGTTGTTACTATAAACTATGACTGCAGGTTTGATTGATCGCTCGTAAAATATATGTTTGTTTGTTTTTTGTTTCTCTTCCCAATTTTTAAAGAGAGAATCTGTTTTGCCACGTAACATCAATACACGCCCGTAGCCTCATTTCCCAACAAAGTGCGGATGATTCAAGCAGCTCGTAAACTTTGCACGCAAATTCAAGGTATATGGCCAAATGAACTACCGGTGCGTCATGAGTAGTGGCGGTGGAGTAATAACAGTTACGGTATCATCATAACGGCGGCCAAGTGGGGTGTGCGAAGCAACGCGTTCCGCGCGAAACCGATGAGCGATACGTGTAAGTAAACATTAGTCAAAAATTTCATCGAGTAAAAATAATAAGAGCAGCCGAAGTTCAAAGAAGCGGCGGTCGAAAGATATTATGAGTTACGCGCGGCGCAAAATTAGATTCGCGCTTCACTTTGATCTGCGTATGGTATACATACTTAGGTACATGAAGAAATGCACCACCATCAACCAGCACTGGCTAGTCGTGGCCGTTAGATACTTAGCCGCTTAGCGACTAAATTCGCGTTTCCGGAAAGTTGGCTGGGTAAGCTGGCCTTTGCTTATGTATAGGTGGTTCGCGTGTGCACAAGTTTCTCCTCTTCTCCATGGAAACGCGATGTGCCGTCGGCTCGATCAAACTACCCGGTACACGCGACATTTCCGATTACCTATATAATACATTCTATTCGCGGGTAGACGACGCTCCGGCGCACTTGCTTACACCTTATACTTCGATACTACACACCTATAGACTCCACCTCAACTTTGAGCTTCTGATGCTGCTTCTTTGTGGATATACACTACCCGCATGGATTTATGGATTAATTTCCATGTAAGTACAAGGACTGCTGCGGCGCACGCGACCTCGGCTTTTTTTCCCGCATGCTGTACTTGGGTACCTTGACGATTTGCATTTAAAAAATTTTGAAATACTACACCTACCTATACCTACCTACCTACCTTGCATGCGCTGTGCGCGGTGCGGAAAGTATTTCGTAATGCGCTCGAAATGTTTGATTGTTCTATTTCGAGACGATCTCAGGATACACTCAACAGAAATTTATTGTTTTCATATCATCGATCGTTTTTCGATTTCTGATTCACCAATTGATCATCAATGTTTGACTCAAAATAATATTTAACGTCATCGGGATCAATAAATAGAATTAATCAAAGATTTGAATAACGTTAATCTTCGTTCTATGCTGCGAGCCAACTCATTCTTTGTTTATTTTTACGTTTCAAATCGAAAGGGCTCAATGTGCTCCGTCGTAATTGAAAAATCTCATTGCTAATCATCTTTCAAATTGAACGTTATTTTAAATATTTTGCATTTGTAAAATTATATACTCTATTAATTTATCTAATTTTGTGTGTTCTATAAACAAAAACGTCTATTGATATTTTATCTGTAATAACTTTCGTAAATTGTCAACAAAAAAAGTATGTTTGCTTAAATTTTTTTTATTATATGCACTAAATGTCTCAAGTATAACTAACTGATAATCCATCCGATCAAAAATTAATTATATGCACAATAGAAAATAATTTTTATATCGACATATTTATTTCGGTAAGGCAGAGATCTCCTGTTATCATCTTAACGTTGCCTTACTTACTGCTATCCAGAGTAGGTGTCAGCACATAAAAATTTACGAATCATGCATATGAATCATGAAAAGCCTGATGGGAGACATACTTTATTACGTAGGATAGGTATGTAAGTAAATATTACATGCATATTGACGAAAAATCCAATAAAGTTTACTTGAACTCATGAAATCCGTACAAATCGTGTACTAAAGATAAATAGTTTTTATCACGAATCCAACAATTAAAAAACTGTGACAAACAGCAAATATATACAAACATTTTTTGCATTTTCGGATATCTTCCTTTACAAACATACTAAATAAAAACATTTTTTCGATACATATATACATTATATTTTTTTTTAATCCATCAAGTTAAAATCTACAACAAAACTGAAGCAAAACAAATTGTTTGCAAGTGTACTACACTTTCTTAGTAAAGTTACGTGGTAAACTTGAAAATAAATGACGATCGTGACATATCAGCATTGGACTATATTAGAGAGTCATAGTGTAGAGGAAGACAAAACGAAAGAGAGAAATAATATCACAACTACGATCGGTAGGTATTCAACGAATTCACGACTCGTCTTGCTGCTGCTTATGCTTGGTGTAACGCTTGTGCCTTTCTATCCTTTCTATAGTTATAATCAGTCGTCATGTAACATTTGACTTATCAACGTCCGCTTTTAAACCTGCAAACAGTTTCGTCGGTTAAATCTCGGGTAATTAGAGAAAAACTGGCGACAATTTTTTAGAATATTGCAATTTCAACAACGGTCATTATTTCAATTGAACAGCAAAAAAACCGTTCATTGGAAATAACTGCTTGTGAATCCTAACGACCGTTAATAATTTTTACTATAGCTTTTTTTTACGAACTGTGATTGGTTAAATGATATTTGTTTGGAAAAAACACGACGTATGTTTTTAACAAGTTTTTAATAAAAAATTTTAATTCTGACCATATTATATTATAAAAGCATCGAAGTTACCGAGTTTTTATCTACTGCTCGTAGAGATATGAAAAGTCAGGCGCAAGGCCTACGTGTTAAACATGTGGTGTGTATTTGTATGAAATGAATGCTGGGCATTGAGTGAAAAACGAAAATAAGACAAAAGTGGGATGAGGTAAAAAGGAAGTGGAGGATAAGAGAAGATACTGTACGTGTTACACACGAGAGTATATATATACGTAAAATCTTGAAGATAAAAGGCGATGACGAATGGAAAAGCTTGGCTGTTTGAACAGTGTTAAAGTGAGTTCTACAAACTGAATGCACGTCAGTTCGAAAAACCGGTCCAATCAGTAGTCGCGCACTTTCAAGACAGAGCTTTGCAATACGCAGATTGGTTTACGCTACTCCGAAGATTATTACATATAGCTTACCAAAATGCCCAGGCTCTGTAAGGTGAGAGGCACTTTTCTTTAATTATATTTAGATTATTTCCATACATGGTTTTCAATTTGTGATTTATTTTTATTTGATGTGACAAGGCTATTCTTAAATAATTGTAACGTATGAATTTGAAGTAATCGGAGCATACCTTTTTCAAAAAAAATTTGCATTTCAACTCTATACCTGATAATTATTTAAAGGTTCGACTTTGCGGGAATTTTTAGTTTTTTATGTTTTGTTACTGAATTAACGGTTATAAAAATATATGTGAAAAAAAAGACATTTACAATTTCAAATTTCAGATTTTTGGACTTTTGTGCATTCAGATAATCATTTCTATTCAAGCAAAGTCAATTGAAAATGTCCACACGGATAAAATGATGAATCAAAAAATACCGTTTTCGTTGACTGATATAATTTCTAGAAATTTTTCCAGTCATCAGTTTAATGGAACCTGGATATCCGAAACTGAATTTTATTATGTTGTTGGTAAAGAGCTTTTTACGTTTGATGTAACAGCATTGGAAAAAAAAATCTCTTGTAAGCTTTAGCGATCTAGTAAGTGAAATCATTAAAATATTTTTTTTTATCAATAATCAAAAAAACATGAATACGATTTATTCCATTTTGTTTTACAATATTAACGTTTCCTTAAAGTTTGTATGGGTACATACATCAAGATGTGGTTGGCGGTTACTTAATGACTAATGGATTAAAATTTTTTCATTACAACACTATTAACGATATAACTGTTCTTCATTTACATTACAAAGGTTTTCAACTTTTAGAATCTTGCTGGTAATTTAAAAATGACTGTATCTCCAGACAAAAAATACGTACTGCTGCGTAATGATACTCAAAATGTAAGCGAGAGCTTGATAAACTATAATTTATAATTTTATTAATAAGAGTTTATTCCAGAGAGAGTGATGATTGTACATATCTTTTTTTTTTTTTTTTTTTTATTAGATCCACCGGCATTCTTCTCTCTTACACTTCGTCACTTTATCATTTACAACATGTTAGAGAGGTAAGTATACACATGAAGCATCTAGTTTGAGAAATTTATTTCATCATTTTTGTTGCACAGGTCTTGGAAGAATTTACATAACGAGCGAATTTCCTTGGCATTTTGGACTCCAAAGAATAAAGAATAATAGTACACTTGTATACGTGCTGGACAATAATATTTATTACTATGATGTAAAATATGATGAACACCGTCAAATAACAAAGGACGGAATATATCACACAATTTATAACGGAATTTCTAATTGGGTCTATGAAGGTACGGCTTTTTACCTCAGATTTTTATATTCTTTACATCAAATAGGCAAGACGATGACATTTTCTGAAACATTACTAAATAAAACTTCATCCAGAGGAAGTTTTAACGAGTGACACTGCTTTATGTATGTCACCAAATGGAGATTATCTAGTTTTTGCAACATTTAATGATAGTGAGGTTCACGAAGCAATCATTTTGAAATACGGCGAGCCCGATAAGCTAGAAAATCAATATCCAAAAGAAGTGAAGTATAGGTATCCAAAGGTAAAAACATGTTACATTGCAAAGTGACTGAGGTTTACGGAAACTTGTACAAAAACCATAAAATAGTAGAAACAAATGGTAAAATTTCAAATAACCCAAGCTTTTTATAGCCTAGCACATCCAATCCACGAGTAATGTTGAACCTCATTGATTTGTCCGATCATGGATCATCAGTGATACCTTTACACATTCCCACGGATGTTGTCGGAACGTAAGTCTCATTTAAAAATATAGATGTATTCAACCCGTGAAAAAATAATTCATGAGTACATAAATTATAATGGTTTGATTTAAATAAAACAGAGAACCAATTCTCTATGCGGTGTCGTGGCTTGACTCGAAAACAGTAGTGGCTACTTGGACGAATCCTGTTCAGAATCATTCTCAAATAATCAGCTATTCTCTGGACGGCCATTATAATTACCTGCTTAGTCAAAGCGAGTCTCGCGGCTGGCTTCTTTATTGCGGTGTACCGCCACTATATTATAAAAACAATTTTTTACTTCTTCAACCGCACGTTACTGGTAAGCGAAAGATCCTGGAAAATATATTTGTACAAGGCAAAGGAAAGTGCTCCTAGTTCGATTATTATAAACCTATCCTTCACTACGGCATAATGAAAATAGCATAATATTGGGATTTTTAGATTTCCAAATTCTTTCAACAACAGCTAATAACAATAAATACTGTATATTTTGCGACATATGTCGAAATTACGTACCACAATTTCCAAACCTTTTTCAATTTTTGTTTCACTTAATTTCAACTTAAAAAACAAAAAAATTTCAAACAAAAAAAAAAAAAAATTTTTTTTTGACAATTGTAAGCTTTAAAGTATACTGTCTATAAAAAAGATAAAAATTTTGATTTAAAGAATTGAGTAGGAGACGTTCTTGGGTCCTTTTGTTTGCTTGGCAAAATTACAATCTAAATTGTGGCCTACAATCATGTCATGAACAATAATTTAAGTATGAAACTCCTCATATGCACAGACAACACGACACTCGGCTCGTTTAGTCATCTAACTCGTTATCGATTGTTGAACGACGTACTCAGCGATGAAGTGGACTTGACTCCCGGCCGAACTTGGGTTTCAATGATTCTGGGCGTTAGTGATCTCAAGCGTGTTGTCTATTTTACAGCCAGCCCACAAAACAAGCCAACTGAAAAGCATCTCTACGAAGTCAGCTTGGCCGATCTTGAAAATTCCACTCCAAACCCTACGTGCATCTCTTGCGACATCGTGACACCCGAAGGTTTGTTTGTTGTTTATTTTGAAAAGAAATCACTACGATTCAAGTGGAGGGAAATAAGAATTTATTTATTGATGCCTGCAGGAAACAAGTGCAAGTCCGTTAATTTGGTGTCGTTTTCGAAAGATTTTTCCCACTATGTTCTTACATGCTCCGGTCCAGATGCTCCGATAATAAATATTTATGACTTCAAACACTAAAAGATACACGATTGGTCTCAAAATCAAAGGCTACGCGAAAATCTTGCAAAACGAGCTTTACCGATCATCCAAAATTTAACCATTGACTCGCAAGGATACGATGTTAAAGTACAGTTGTACCTTCCACACGATTTCGATGAATCTGCACAATACCCTTTACTTCTAAACGTGTAAGTTATTTTTTGTCATAGTATAGAGGAATGAAACTTTCACCTCGTCAAACGAGAATCCAACTTACCAACGAAATGTCTATTTCCAATCATATCAATATTTTTCAAGTAAATTTAACCACACGTGAATAATACATCGGCACTCGAATTACAACTTCGCAATCATATTAGATAACTTTTTAATTTGTAACGTGTTTCGCTACTATTATGTATTTAAGTTCCGCGAAGTTTAATAAAATCATGATCGAAGTAATTGATGAAGTTTGACGGTAAAATATGTTTATGTTTAAGTTATTGAAAAAAAAAAAAAAAAGTTCAGGTTTTTTAGCTGTAATTTTTCTTCTTTTTTTTTCTACCAATTTATATGTACAGTTACGGTGGGCCAGAGAGTCAAAAAATTACAGATGATTTTGGTGTTGGATTTGAAAGCTATATGAGCACAAATCTTCACGTAGTGTACGTGACAATTGTTGGACGCGGTAGTAATTCAAAAGGCACAGCATACATGTATCAGGTTTATCGAGATCTTGGAAACCGAGAAATAGTCGATCAAATTCACGTTGTCAGGTATATTTATGTCAAACTAATTTGAAAATTATTCGTTCAGTTAAATGATGATATTTATGTATATTTTAAATATTGTCTCAGTGAATTGGTGTCTGGGGCTGGGTTATGGTGGATACGCCACAGCAATGATACTTATAAAAGATGTAGATAAAGTTTTTAAATGCGGAGTTTCAGTCGCTCCTGTAATTGGATGCTCTACGGTTGATATTACATTTATTTTTGTTCGAAAAATTATCTATTTCGAATACCAAGTGCTCAATGCGTAGTAAACTTATTTTTCGCAGACTCCATCTGTACTGAGCGCTACATGGGATTACCGACTGAAAATGGAAATGTAAAAAAGTATCAGTCAAGCTCAGTGCTTGCGCACGCAAGTAAATTAAAGACCAAAAAGTTTATGCTGGTTCATGGTACCGGCGACGACAATGTCCACTTTCAGCAGTCGATGATGCTGAGCAAACTGTTGACCGCAGAGGACATTATCTTCGATCAGCTCACTTATCCTGATGAGGCCCATCACTTGGGACACGTAACGGCACATTTGTACCACAGCATGGATATTTTTTGGGCCAAGTGTTTTGGGTACGATATAGAAAGTAATTCACTCTCTGGATCGAGCAACACTGTTTAATTTACTTTTTCCAGCATTAAGTATACTTTTGTCATTGTGTTTTTAATTTTTTGTAAGTTTAATATTCTATTGAGAATTAAATTTAAGAAAGGACTTGTCTTTTGTTCACATACTATAAACTTTGTTTGAAAAAAAACATTGCAAAACCCGACAAGTTTACTCAATGTATACCGCGTTGATCTGTATCTAAAAGATATACACAATACTGATTCAACGATCAAAATAGTATAACGTAACTTTTTATAATAATAAACAAATCTTATTACCATTGCGTGAATTGTTTATTTGATGTTACAATACCAGCAAGTCCACGATGAAGTTTAAATATCTTATAATTATGTTAGTTATAGTCAATTAAGTAGTTTATTTTCACAATATACGTATTGGAGATGGTGTGCATATTTTTGCAAAATTAGTGATGATATAAATATTAGACTGTTACGACTTACGTTTGAGGGAGACAAATGATAAAACACAAAGGAGAAATAAAGATAAAAAATATCAGAGCTGTAAGAATGGATATTTATGTTCTTGCTCGTCTATTTAACTGCAAAATAATTAAAAATGGGTCTAGATTAAAAAAAAAAAGTATTCTATAAACTTTGTAGCACTTGTACTTAATCATACAGTCAATCGATAATAGACTAAACAATAGTTTGGTAGTTTGATTATTAATATTAAGTGAAATATGCTTGCATTTAATTAGACACATAAAAATACATATACCTAAATCTGAAATTTTAAGTTAAAGTTCCGTTCACACGTATAAGTCCTCCAATGATATTCTGTTAGATATGTAATGGATAAACATACGTGTGCTCAAAAGTGTAAAGTTAAAATAATGCCACTGAGGATAAAAAAAAGAAAGAGGGAAAGAAAGTATGTAACAGTAAAAACATTGATACATAGTTGGAGTTAAAGAAAAGATAGGCAGTAGACCGAGTAAAGGGAAGGAGGACGCACTTATATACACAATCACGGCGATAAAAGGTAGTTAACAGTAGAGAGATGCTAGATCGTTCTGATGATTAGCCCTGAGTGGTATAAAGCGTGAGCGAGTGATAGAGCCAGTTCGAAAAACCAGTTCCTACAGTCGCAGTTGTGTGTAGCAAATCTCACTGGCTCTGGGTGGACGGTGAGACTAAATTTAGAACAATGACTTATCCCAAGGTGAGATAATGGTTGTTTTGGCAAATTTTTATAACCTATAGTTTTTTTTGTTTTTTTTTTGTTTTTTTTTTCTTTTTTTCATGCCAAAAACGTGACGCGAAACTGTGCTTTGAATTTCAGTTGATTGGGCTTTTGTGCTTTCAATTGATAATTTTGACGACCGCTCGATCTACCACTACCGAAGCTCCATCGCAAGATGGATCGGGCGAAAGGAAAGCTTTTTCACTCGACGATATCGCATCGAATGCCTACACCAGCCTTTCATTTAATGGCACTTGGATATCAGAGACCGAAATTTTTTACAGAATCGACGAACTGCTCCTTGTATTTGACGTGAAAGCCCAGAGCAGCAAAGTCATTGCTAACAGTAGCATTTTTGTGAGTTGAATTTATTCTTATTTAATTTATATTATTGTACAAAGATAAGTGAGGATTTTCAAGTATCAGATCTCCTTGTCTTCAGTTTTATTTTAAAAAGTAGGCTTTATCGGTAAAAAGTAAATAAACAGATAATCTTGTAAGTAAAATCTCTAAGTAAGAAATTAATTTCAAGAAAATATGTCATAACATAGTGTGGTAATAATTGAGGTTTTGGTGTACATTTAACGTTGGTTTGAAATTTCTTATCTATTTATCGGTCAGATAAAATACGTCAATCGTCAACAAATTATAGTTGATACATCCGATATTTAATCGGAAAGAAATGTATAATGAAACACAATGTCAAATTGTATTTTTTTTTTTTTTTTAACAGGATGACGAAGAAAATATGAAATACTATGTATCCCCAGACGGTAATTTCGTGCTTTTGCGCAATTCAACCAAAAAGGTATATAGACACTCGGGTTTGAACAAGTTCAGCATTTACAACGTGAAAAGCGAGTAAGGAATGGAATGAAATGAAATGAAATGAAATTTTTGATATTCTAATGTGGCGTAAAATTTTCACAGAGAATTGAAGCCGTTGGAAGACGGTCAGTTAATATCGGTGGCTGTTTGGGCGCCACGGGGCAGTGAACTCATTTACGTTTTAAAAAATGACATTTACCATTACCAAGCGAAACTCGGTGAAACGCGTCGGCTGACCTTTGATGGAAAATCGCAGACCCTCTACAATGGCATCCCCGACTGGGTCTACGAAGGTGATTATTGTTAATATTATTATTAGCCCCTCTTTGTCTCGTTGATGGACGATATCACTGAAACCACTCTCTTAATCCGTATCCCCACAGAAGAGGTCTACTCTACCGACAGAGCACTCTGGCTCTCGCCAAATGGCGATTATCTGGCTTTTGGGACGTTTAACGACTCTTATGTCCCCGAAGCGGTGGTTATGAGGTACGGCACTCCCGGCGATTTGCAAGACCAATATCCAAGCGAGGAGAGATTCCGGTATCCAAAGGCCGGGGCGAGTAATCCCCACGTCACGCTGAACGTCATTAATTTGAAAGACAAGCAGTCGTCGATGATTTCCCTGAAAGCACCTGTTCACATAGTTGGAGCGTAAGTTCAGAGAACCATCCATAATATGTATAAATAATGTAGTACATCGTACACAAATAGAAAGAACGGCAAAAACAATGATGATTTTCTTCCATGGAAGGGAAGCCATTTTGTACGCCGTGACGTGGTTCGATGAGAAAACAGTAGTGGCCACGTGGACCAATCGAGTCCAGAATCATTCGCAAATCGTCAGTTACCCGGTCACCGCGAAGGAACCGCAGCTCCTCCTGGAGCAGAAAGTGACGGGCGGCTGGCTTCTCTTTCCTGCCAATGCTCCCCTGCACCACAGAGGCTACGTTCTCATTCTGAGGGATCAACCAGTCGGTTAGATAAATATACGTACATACACGCATACGTGTAATATATGTATACCCACACAAAATGATACAGAGTATACACAAAAATCGTGAAATTAACGCGACAGAGAACAAGACGTTGGGCTCATTTGGCCACTTGACGCGCTACACGCTCAGCGATAATGGCACATTGAAAGACGAGCTCGACCTGAGTCCAGGCGAAACTTGGGTGCACTCGTTGGTCGGCGTCAGCGAGGCGAAAGCCGTCGTTTACTACACTGCTTGTCCGCCGGGCGAGCCGTCCCAGAAGCACCTTTACGAGGTCAACCTCGAGCCCGAGGATCTGAGACCGGAGCCCAAATGTGTCTCTTGCAAGCTGAAAACTCCCGAAGGTACGAGACTCAATCGATGGAAAACAATAACAAAGCACGCTTCGGAAAGAGCTTGCAGGTCGGGTAAAACGAAAAATAAATTAATAAATTGTCAGGCAACGACTGCAAGTACGTGAGCTCGGTGAAATTCTCGCGTGACTTTTCGCGCTACGTGATGACATGCGCGGGCCCGGATCCAGCGATCATTAAAATCTACGACTCAAGGGGTACGGAGCTATACACCTGGTCCGACAACCACGCGCTGCGTCACATGCTCGCGAAGCGAGTGCTGCCCCAACAGATGGACCTGACCTTTCCCCTCAACGGGTTCGACGTAAGGGTGCGACTGCAGCTGCCCCAGGATTTCGATCCCTCGAAAAAGTACCCTCTCTACGTCAACGTGTAAGTGTAATGTTACTGTTTATAAGGCAATGGCGCGTGAGGATCGAAATAATCGGAAATAATCGAGACCTCGCGACTGGTGCCCATCAGTTACGCCGGCCCGGGGAGCCAAGCCATCATTGACAACTTTTCCGTCGGATACGACAAGTTCGCGACCACTGCTAAGAACATCATCGAGGCAAAGATCGACGGCCGCGGCACCAATTCCAGGGGCACCGCGATGCTCTACTCGGTTTACAGGAATCTTGGAAGTGCAGAGATGGAGGACCAAATAGATGCCACAAAGTTGGTTCACGTAAACGTTAAGTACGTCAAAAACTCGATTTCGTTTAATTGATGTTTTTTTTTTCAGATTGCTGCAAGAACAGTTTAGCTGGATAGACAGGAATCGAACGGCAATCGGTGGGTGGAGTTACGGTGGATATTCCGCGGCTACAATCCTCACCAAAGACAGGGGCAACGTATTCAAGTGCGGTCACTCGGGGGCACCGGTCACCAATTGGATGTACTACGGTAAGAAGTATCATGCAACACGTCATTTATTACAATTAAACGGGTGTATTTGCAATTGCATGAAAAACCGACTCGATCAGATTCGATATATACCGAGCGCTACATGGGCCTGCCAACGACCAGCGACAATCTAAACAATTACGAAGAGAGCTCGGTCATGAGGCGAGCGAAAAACTTTAAGGGCAAAAAGTTCCTGCTGATACACGGGACGGGTGACGACAACGTCCACTTCCAAAACTCGATGGCTCTAACAAAGGCGCTCGCCGAGAACGACGTCGCGTTCGAGCAGTTCATCTACCCCGACGAGGCCCACCAGTTCGTGCACTTGGCCCAACACCTCTATCGTGTCACGGACAATTTCATATCCGATTGCTTTGGCATCGAAGTTCCGGAGAAGAAGAAGTAAAACATTATCGCCAAATTACCGGGGCCAACAGCTTTGGTACCCATGTGTGCATAATAATAATAATATAATACAATACATGCACCGATCTGTAATACTTTGCATTGATATTGAAATACGTACACCTGAAATACACACACACACACACACACACACACACACACACACACATGAAAGTACACTAAATAAAAAATGAAAAAATTAAAAAATTTTTTACATCCGAGATCTAACGACTGTTATGTTTTTATCAGAGCTCAAAGTTTAATAAGATAATGAGTATGGATTTTTCAAGTTATTTCGATTCATGACTGTTGGTACCATTATGGTAAAATGTCAACTTTTTACTGCAATGGGCAAAAACCTCGTTTTTTAAAAAAAATTTGTTTTTAAATGTTCCAGAGTGTAGGTACAATACCAAAAGAATTGCATTTCGTTACTTGTTGGACATTTTGCTCTGGTGAAAATATAAGAACCTCTTGCGAGGCAGTCGTGCCGAAAAATCGATCGCCAGTGTTCGCACTTGAGCCAACCCTTTCCTTCGCAAACATGGTTATCACGTCATCGGCCTTATTTATCAAAGCTCGGGCGCGCATTGGTATACCTACCATTGGTCGTGGAGGGACGCGCGAAGGCCAACGCCGACGCATCATCGATAACTGCAGCGCCTGTTCTCTAACTCCCTTGGCCCGATGATTAGCACGATATCCATTATTTTATGTGCGAGCTAGTCGTCGCGTGCATGCAACGCAGTGCAAAGTAAAAAGGGTCGGCAGAAGAGACCTTCCGAAAAGCCTTGGGCTCGCCGACCTCATAGTTAACACATTTCGCAAAAGGTTTTTTTTTGTTCCATTGGCTGGGCGTCGGTGGTGACGACATCGATGATGAACCAATGACGACTTATCACTCCTAGCGCGCAAAAATCTATGCGCTCCCGCGGAGGGTTGTAGGTATGATGTACATCGTCGTGTGTAAGGACGAAAGGTCGGTCGGCTGTAAGCAGCAACGGAAGGTCAACGCTTGCGTTTGTTATCAGGGAGGAAGGGAGATAGGTGGTTCAGGGTCGGGCTCTATTTTCGGACAGCGTTGCCGCCATAAACTTGCCCGATGATGGACGCGCCTGAATCACGCAACCGGCACTCCTATCTTATCGCCTACTCGCTCCCTCCACTTTTGCACTCTTTTTATTTTTTTTTTTGTCTTTCCATCCCTCCGATGGTTGTAAGCGGAGAGCGAGCCTCGCCGTACCTTTCTCCTGTAAGCGTGAATCGTCGTCACCTCCGGCCCGATAACGAGCTACAGCTGTCCTTGGCGTGTCCCCCGTGCTTCGATTGCAATCCCTCGGATCGAGTATTGGCTCCTCGGCATTATGTTTTATCGAGCGTCGAGTTGGGGGTACGGGTTCGTTATTTCTCGTTGCATTTGTGCTTTCACTCCATCCAGATGTGGAAGTGGAGGGTTTGGAAAATTTTATCTCGAGTCGTTTTTGGGAGGATAGGAAAAAAAAAAGAAAAAAAAGTGGTGGAAGGCAGAGAGTTGGCAAGTACTGCGTCAGATAGTCGAGGTATATACTATCGGTTTGAGAGAGTCTCCTTGCTACGGAGGGTGAGGCTTGAAAAGTGAGACGTTCCTTTGCCCCTTGATGCTGCCTCGCCTTCCTTCCCCGGCGATGCGGTTCTTCTACTCTGATGTTCCTTTTGTTCATCGGTCTCTTTTCGCCGGATGGCTGAGCCTACGAGAATACGTAGGTAATTATATGGAACGCACGCCCTCCACAAAGTTACTTTTAAGCGCTCACTTGTACTCTTTAAAAAAAAAAAAAAAAAAAAAAAAAAAAAAAAAAGAAACAAGTTGAAACTGCAGTTTGTCGTTTCAGCTCCCTCGCCGATCATGATGGACTTTAATGGCTTGACGTTATATTTTTACAACTTTTTGTGACCAAAACAAACATAGAACCCATCGGTTTTTAGTCGAGCTTATTTCAACGCCGAAGGGACATTCGAGAGCTTCGATCGACTCATCCCTTCGAATTCTCGGAACTTTCTCCTGGGAATCTTGAAAAGGAGTTTGAAAGTAAAATGGTTTAACCTATACGTATGCTACGATGTTTGTTCATTTTTACCCACATCAATGATTATCGACAGCACGATTTACGATCGTCGATCAGAACATCCGCGAGCCATACGTATAGTAGGAAGTGTACATGCCAGTAAAAATATTAATAATCGCGCGACCAGTAATTTCGTCCGTGGCATCACGGATCGATCGTCCCCCGTCGCTCGAATGCAAATGCAGAGCTTTTACCGTTTCGATGGAGCTTCGAAAAATGGGTAAAAGATGCGCTTTCGATTCGAGAGGTTGTTTTTGGGGGGGGGGGTGGAGGGGAGGAAGAGCAGGGGTAACCATCTAATTATGAAGGAGGACGGTGCATCAAAAATCGATCGTCGAGGAGGGAGGGGGGCCAAGGCATCGGGTATAGGATCGTAGAAGAGCGGCATTATGTGGACGGGCAGAGCAAGAATGGAAAGGGTTGCGACCGTGACTACCTACCCCCGCCCAGCCATACCGGAAATGAAAAGCCAGAGTCGAGGACTCGCGTGAGCCCTCTGTCCGCTGTGCACGAGCTTTCGTCGTCATTGTCGTCGTCATCTATCTAGATCGATGATGCGTGATTGCTGGCTGTCAGGTGAAGCTGAGAAGTAGAGGAGGAACAATGTTACTGCGTGTGGCTGCAGCGTACCGTTGTAGTTGCTATGTGGGCTCGTAGCTGATCTTCCACGCGTGCTTTAATCGTATATGGGTATACCGATGTACACGCCACGGGCTATAATTCTCTTTCATTTCTCGCTCTTGCCTCTGCACTTCAGGTTGCAATTTTGCACACAAGTGCATTTCCTCTGTATTTTCCACATCGGAGCGAGCTTGGATTTGCATCGACGAGGCTGGTGTATTTCGTCATACTCTACATACTCCATAAATAACGCTAAACTCCCATCCAATTTTATGACCTTTTATTTTATCAGGTTTTAATAAAATTACCCAATCACGAATCAATATATTGTATTCGTTGGAGTTGCTATTTTTTACTCACTCCACAGTTGTGACCCATACTTACAGCGGCCAATAGCTAGTGGATTAATTTCTCAATCTGTACTTGACTACGAATGATCATTGGTTTGAGGAAAAAGAAAAAAAAAAAAAAAAAAGCTTGAATCATCGATGCAATCGTAAAGCTCCACAAGCCTGGTTACATGAGTAAGCGAGTGCGGAAAAACTCGTCGACAAAAATAGACACAGGAAGCCCCGAAGTTCCGCGATCTCGACGAATTATCCGGAAAATGTCGGGCGCCAGATTACACCTGTAAATCTTTCCTTCCTGCCGAAAATTGCCACCGTGCCCCCGCGCTACACATGTATTGAGCCTCTGAAAATTTAAATGGCTCTCTCTCTCTCTCTCTGCCCTTCCTCTCCGTTTTTTACGGCAAAACGAAACACCGTTTGGAAAATCGAGAGCGAAGGTGGAGGGAATAATCTGCTACACGCGTATCGGGAGGGAAAGTGGGGTGTGGGAGGCTGTGTACAATGGCCGGAGGGCGCGTGAATGGGGTCCCAAGGCTGTCGTTCGCCAGGACTCCAATAATCCTGTATCGTGTTTACATTGCGTTCAAGATTTTTGGCAGCGCGGCAGCGCCCATGGCTGATGATACCACCCACTCATTTTCGGATCGCTACCGTCTCATTAATATTTCCACTCGAGGGAGAATTTTTCATCCCCAGAGCCCCGGAATTCTTTCTCTTTTGCTTTTTTAAAATCGTCCCCTCGAAAGCTCCCCCGAGCTCCTCCGACTCCCTGTGTAAGAGTAGCTGATGGCACCGAAAATCGATACAAACAAAAATAACAGCCACGTCTCATATACATATATGCTTGAAGCTGCGCACGTGGATGAGGAGCTCCTTCCCAGGGTAGTCGTTCGTTTTTTTTACATTACTTTTTGCAGTGTGCAAAAGGATTTAATTGCATGTTTAATTATTATTGGTGGTTGAGCCGCCCGCGACGTAAGGCCGAAAGTTAATTGGCCACTCCTACTTGCGCGTGCTTGCCCCACCGTTTTTAGGGGGCTATATGAAAAGAATGAAAACACAAAAGTAGTAATTTAACAATGCCAGAGAAAGAGCCATCGGTTTTTTTATGGGTAGAACTACGTACAGCGATACGGGCCACGGAGGGTAAAGAACATTGTGCCAAGCAGCGAGTTCTCGCAATCATGTACCTATTTTGGAAAGATAAAACGAGGTATCTGTTTACAGCCACGCGCGGCAAGCGATATAGAGATGTACAGGGGGCACGAGCGATCGAGAGCATCTTGTACGATGGGCTACGGCGGTCATGGTGATAATGATATGCGACAGACAATGAACGCAGAAAAGGTAATTCTCATGGTTGCATGTGAGCATTACTCTCTTATTACGTATAATATAGGTGTGCGATGACGTGTGCGCGTCGGGGAGGGGGGTAACTCAGCTCAGACGAGGAGGGGAGTGAATGTAGGAGGGGCGTTAGCAGCATCAGCCGGGATCCAGCGAGAAGAGACCGTATAGATATACAAGTAGGGGGACGGGGGAGGGGGTCAAAGCAACGACGCACCAGGAGTCCGAAGCTGCGGCGGAGCCTCAGTGTCGGCGCAGTGGCCGGGCCAACGTGTCCTACGCCAGGCAGTCCACGCGCTCCGCATCTCTCTTTCTTTTTCTCGCCCACCTTCCTCCCTCCCTCCCTCCCACCCTCCTTGCCGCCCCCGAGTTTCGCACAACAACCCGGCCCTCCTCTTCTTTTCCTCCGCTCGGCCTCCTTTTCCCTCCTCCATCAGCGCCACTTGCAAGCTCCTTCCGCTTCCTAGTTCTCGCGGTAGTGGTGTTGGCTCAGTCGCGCCGGCAACTTGCGACCGAGCGCACCAAAGGACGAACGATGTGACGACGACCCGGGAGTTGTTGTTGTTGAGGCCGAGGTCAGTTTGTTGTCGGCCAATTTATTTTTTCTTCTCTCTCTCTCTCTCTCTCTCTCTCTCTCGGGTCCCATGTGTGCCAGCCCCGGTGAAATTCCTCGGCTGGCCTACCGTTGTCGATCATCCGTTGAAGGGAGGAGGAGGGGCAGTCCGGGC